AGTCCTTGCCTTCAACCTTCTGTTTGCGTCCGCTACGTCATCTCGGGGGTAGTCATCCCGGTCATTCCAACGTCCTCTACCCTGATTTTTCCGATTCAATCCACGGTCCGATTCCTCAGCGCGGTCAGAAGATCGGCCGGACTCCTGTCCGACTGTATGCACTTTTCCAGCTTTCTTGTCTATCGGTGCCGGAACTGACTTTGCGGTTGACGCCGACACGTCATCCTCAACTCGAATATGCTCATTGATGCGTTGCATAAGTTGGCCCATGGATGTCGGCTGATGCATGGTAAGCGAGTCCCGCAGTCTATGTCCGACCGGAAGACCACGCTTATATTGCGTGATTGCAAGGTTGACCGGGCAATCCAAGATCTCGTTGAAGGTTTCCCAATACCTTGAGTTGTATGCCTTCAATGTGTCGCTCGGTTCCATCTTGACACTAAGTAAATGATCGACTTCTTTTGGTGTTTTTGTGTTGGTTTTGAAGTGCGTCACAAAGGCTTCGGCCAACTGATGCCACTGTTGTATGCTCCCTTCTGGTAACCTCTCGAACCACTTCAAGCCCAGCTCGCCTAAACTCGACGGGAAGATCAGGCACATAAGTCCGTCATTTCGCCTATGTCCGGCCATAACCTGTCGGAAGTGGCTCACATGCATGTAAGGATCGATTTTTTCGTCGTAGAGTGTGAACTTAGGCTGGTGGAAGCCTGCCGGAAGCGGTGTTGTTTCTATTTCCAGGGAAAAAGGGGTGGCACTTAACCTGGCCAAATCTGAATCCAATAGGAGTGGCGCTGCTTGGCGGGGTGGAGGCATTCCGACCTCTTCGCTGGCGTGAACCCCGTAGGATAGCCGCTGGAACGCCAGTATCCTCTGAGCTTCCCGTCGGCGAGCCCGCTCCTTTAAGACCGCCTGCAAATCCTCTGAATGAGCGGAGTAAGAGTACTTCGACGTCGTCACCGGACGTGAGGGCCGGTAAGTGTTATCTTGCGCGCTAGACTTCTCCGCATGCACGTCAGAATCACCAACCTGGTAATTTCTGGTAATAGAGATGGATAGAGTGCGTCGCTGACTCTGACCGCCTGAACGGCGGGATGGGGTGCGCTCACTGTGGTCACCTACTCCAGCTACACCCTTTCCTTTGACATGCCGCTTGAGCTCCTCCATCTCTGCCGCCATTCGCCGGATGACGGCGTCTTGGTCCCTCAACTTGTGTTCCAGACGCCGGGCATGTGATTCTCTCCGCCGCCGATGACTGTCCGGACTTCATGAATGACCATAACTTCTTCTGCGCTTATCCCGCGCGTCTCCTAACTGTCCGTCGGTGGGTGCCTCTAAGTCCGCCATTGGATGGATAGCGGGAGGTCCTTCTCTCCTTCGGGTGAACTCTGGGGTGGCTCCTTCTATGGCAGACAACGGAAACTCATCGTTGTTCGCCATAGACGGCGATCAGACAAGCCTGGAAGACAAGGTTTTGTTTGTCAAGCTTCCCACAGACGGTGCCAATTGTACGGGGAGCCAATATTCCGGCAAGCCCGTACTCCTTTCTTCCGAGCTCCGTTACTGTCCGATCACCTGCGAGCAAATAACGATGAGCTACTCGGCGGTGTGTGGCCAGAAAACCCCTCCAACGATCAAGTTAGGACACACACAAGGGATAGATAGAGAGAAGGGAGAGTGTTGAGTGTAAGTATTACTCTTACCAAACGTTCATCCCTCTGTATGGGGGGCGCAGTCATGCTTATATACCTTCTGCACCCCAAATCTACTCCCAGTGATCTCTCAACACATGGCACTGCTATCCCATCTGTCAGCATAAACCTTGCTGAGCACCACCTAACCCAACTACCTGCCCATGCTCCGGGGAGCTCGGCAACCGGGCAGTATCATCTCAGCCATCGTCTGCCATGCTGCGTTTCATGCCCAAGTACTCTAACAGCTAAGCTCAGAGGACCGGACTCGGCGGCATCTCGGCAAAGCCGAGCTCGGAACTACTCACACTTATCTGCGGTCGACCTACCTGCCGAACAAACAAGTACCTCGGTCCAACCTTGCCTTTCCGGGCGCCGGTCACTTAACTTGACTGGCTCCGCCTCTGCCAAACATGTAGCTCGGTCCAACCAAGCGTTACCTTAACCGAGCAACTTCTTTCCAAACTGGGCCACACATCCTCAGCCCAACACTTGCCCGACCCAAATCTGTCCGGCAAAACTCTGTCTGGCCTAGATCTATTCGGCCCAGTACCAGATCATTAATCTCCCTCTCAGCTTCAAAGAAGCTGAACCATTACTTTCAAGCGCACAAGATTATAGTGCTAACAGAGCACCCACTGAAGTCATTGTTACAACAAGGAGACTTAACTGGAAGAATAGCAAGATGGGTAGTGGCCTTGGGCCAGTACGACCTGGGGTTCAGGCCGAGAACAGCAATTAAGGGCCAAGTTTTGGCCGACTTCGTGGCCGAATTCACGAAGGAGTCCATCGAACATTGGGCTCCGTTGAGCCAAGATGAACGATGTCTAAGAAAACAAGGAGAAGCCTAGCCAAAGGCAAAAGAACAAGGAAAGGAAAAACTCAGACCCTGTAACATTTACATCGGCGACTCCTTTCGCCTGTTTGTCGATGGGAGCTCAAACCGGCAAGGAGCGGGGGCAGGAGTAGTGTTAATATCTCCTGATGGGGAGATATTGGAAGAGTCTATTCGATTAGGGTTTAAGGCCTCGAACAATAAGGCAGAATACGAAGCATTGATTGCAGGACTAAAGCTGGCAGTGGCAGCAGAAGCAGATGAGGTAATAATTTTTTGTGATTCACAACTTATAGTGAATCAGACAACAGGAGAGTTCGCAACCCGAGATGAAAGGATCTCGGCATACGCAAAGGAAGTCGTCAGGCTAGCAGCCTTGTTTCGCAACTGCCGACTTCTTCAAGTTAGCCGAGATGATAACAGCCACGCCGACGCATTGGCCAACTTGGCAAGTTCAATACAAACTGGAAAAACAAGGACAATAATGATTGACTATTTGTCAAGCCCGAGCATAGAACCACCGATCATAGAACAAGAAGCAATGTGTGTGGACTTGGGACCAAGCTGGATGGATGCAATTGTTGCATTCCTAAAAGAGGAACAGCTGCCAGAAGACCATAAAGAAGCACACAAGGTCAGATTGAAGTCGGCAAGATTCAATTTGACAGCAGACGGACATCTTTACAGAAGGTCCTTCACTGGACCCTTTTTAAGGTACGTACACCCTTTGCAGGTTGAAGATTTTCTATATGAAATTCATGAAGGGATCTGTGGAAGCCATGTTGGGAGCAGATCACTAGCTTACATGGTCATTACCTAGGGGTATTGGTGGCCCTACATGCAAAAAGATGTAGAAGCCTACGTGAAAAAGTGTGAACAATGCCAAAGGTTCGCACCTTTGATACACCAGCCAGCTGCTGACCTGAACCCTGTATCCAGTCCATGGCCATTTGCCCAATGAGGCATGGATCTCGTTGGCAGTTGCCCCAAGCAACTGGGCAAAGGAAGTACTTGCTGGTAGCAACGGATTACTTCACGAAGTGGATAGAAGCAGAACCTCTTACCAAAATCCGAGATGTGGACGTCAAGAACTTCATATGGAGAAACATCATCACCAGATTTGGCATTCCAAGAGCAATAGTTGCCGACAACGGAACGCAGTTTGACAGCAAACTCATCAAGAACTTCTGTGCGAAATTCAAGATAAAGAATTACTTTTCAACACCAAGTTTTCCCCAAGGCAATGGGCAAGCAGAAGCATCCAACAAAGTAATTTTAGATGGGATAAAGAAGGGGCTGCAGGCAGTAAAAGAAAATTGGGTAGACGAGTTACCCAATGTACTCTGGGCATATTGGACTACGCCGAGAAGATCGACAGGGGAAACACCCTTTGCCATGGCTTACGGCACGGAAGCTGTCATTCCACTAGAGATCGGCATCTCAGGGATCAGAACCCAGGGAGTAGAAAATGGGACTAATGATATACTTCTAGCCCGAAATCTGGATCTCTTAGAAGAAAGAAGGAAGAAAGCTACAATTCAGCTTGCAGCATACCACCAGCAGCTTGTTAGAGCTTACAATAAGCAGGTCAATCCAAGATATTTCCAGGTCGGCGACCTAGTCCTAAGAAAAGTTATTGGCAACAAGAAGGATCCCAGAGAGGGCAAGCTTGGCCCAAACTGGGAAGGACCCTACAGAATCACTTCGATATTGGGCAATGGAGCATACCGGCTTGAAGATAATGAGGGCAAAGCATTGCCAAGACCCTAGAACACTTGTAATTTAATTTTTTTTTATCATTAGATGTTCCTTGTTATTTTTTGCCGACGTCATCAATAAAATCTTAGCAGAATTTCCCAAGATTTGTGAATTGATAAAAGATGCATAATGTTGTTTCTGAATAATGAGAACCCAAGTGGAACTTAGGTTCACATTGGGGGCAGAGAGAAGACACAAATGTTTAATGCTTGTTGAAATTTGTAGCAATTTACAAGTTGAAGTTAAGCTGAGATTATTGTTTATCTTCACTTGTTGAAATTTGTAGCAATTTACAAGTTGAAGTTAAGCCGAGATTATTGTTTATCTTCACTTGTTGAAATTTGTAGCAATTTACAAGTTGAAGCTAAACCAAAGTCATTGTTCGACATTTGTTGAAATTTATGGACAATTTACAAGTTCAGTTAAACCAGTAAGATGTTCAACACTTGTTAAAAGTTTACAAGAAGTTTGTCTATCCGAGGTGTGTCACCCCGAGAAGATTGTACAAAGAAGGAAAAGTGTGTGAAAGACATGCAGAATATTCTAAGTATAGAATCATGCAGAAGCAATAAAGAGAAGACAAGAGTGCAAGCACTTAGAAAAGAAAAGTTGCATTAGCATTCATCAAGAAAAGGGCACATCGGCCATACAAAGGGCTTATATTGTTCCAAAAGATAAAGAAGAAACAAAATACAACTAAGCAAAAGAAAAATATGAAGCTAAGACTCCTCTCCACCAGTTGGGTGAATTTGAAGATCAGATGTTTGTTGAGAAGACATCTCAGCAGTCTTATCCACCGCGACCTCGGCGTCAATTTCTGCAAGAGTGTCTTCAAGGTTTTTATCAGCAAGGATGGCATCGGCTGATTCCTTCTCATCAGCAGCATCTTTGTTAACCTCATTGCCTTCTTCATCCTAAGTCAAGTCTAGGACTTGCTCATTTTGAAGAGGGGGCTTGGCAACATCTTTGGATTTTCTTACCAACGCCTCATCCCCTTCCTCATCACCATCCTCAGACTCAGATTCGCCGACGTCTTGACTTGGAGGTTGAGCTGGAGGGAATGAAAGAGGAATGGCATCGACTTTCCTCAACGGTGAGTTCTCTGGGACATTGAGTTTCTTTAGAAGGGACATCCAACCAAGGGTGAAACCCTTGTTGCATGCCTCCTTCACCTGTTGTTCGTAGGCATCTGTGACGTCGGCCATGCCTTGGGCATATGCCTTCTCGTCGGTATCTTTTATTTCGGCTTCTTTGGTGGCCAGTGCCTCCTGAAGCTCCTTTTCAGCTTGAATCATTTTCTTCTCGGCTTCTCTCTTCTAAGACTCAGCCACTTTCCTGATAGCCTCAGCAGCCTCAGCATTCTCTTCAGCATTGGTCTGAGCTTTGATTGCAGCCTCGGCTTGGTCCTCCAGCTTTTTCATCTTTAATTGAAGACCTTTGTTGGTCTTTTGGAGGGAAGAGAACTCTCTCTTCATCTTGACAAGCCTCTCCCGATTCTCAAAAGACTGCATTGAGAAAGAGTGGGCATGCTGGATGGCCTGAAAGAAAACAGAAGTATTAGAGAATATTCAAAGTACGAAATAAAAAGAAAGAAGAACATTACCAAATAGAAGACATCAACCTGAACGGAGTGCTGAAGCATTAGAGCGTAATTCTCACACTCACTGTACTAGGCGTTTCACTCCAAATCGCTTGGTAACAGTAGAGCAGTACTGAGCGCAACGCCGACGTTAATATCCTCAGCACTGTCACTTGCCATAACAGGCTTATCTTCTAGAGTAATTGAGGGAGCCCAGGGGGCATCAGGTTTTTTTGATCCCGAGGTTGTTGTAGAAGAAGACCTCGGCTTTTTTGGATTTTGGGATTTTGGTGGTTGAGACTCAGAGTGCCTCTTCCCAGCAGAAGGCTGAGATTTATCACTCTCAGCCAACTTTGAGATCGACAAGGAGTCTTCAGATTCAACCTGAGCTATCTTGGTCTTTGGTTGAGCCTTCTTTATTCTTTTCGGCTTCAGTGGAAGTTGGGTTTGTGCTGGTTGATCATCAACAGATGATGGAATGTTGGCTAAGAGGTCTTTTGCAACTGGTTTTGAGCGGCCCATCTCGGCAGTAAAGACGAGTCGTCGCCGATGTTTTCGTTCTGATATTGGAACCAGGTATGGAGCCGAAGTTGATGGCTGATCAGCTGGATCGGATGTTGATCCTTGATCTGTTCGTGATGTGGATGCGGTCTGTGGAGTTGTGGCAGAAGGTAGAGAGAGGCTTTTCTTCTTCCTCTTAGGGACGTCGGGCAAGGCTGACTTATAAGTTGGGATAAAGTTGAGGAGCAGAGGCGCCTTTCGTTTGTTAATCGGTAAGTTCTGAAGTTTTTTCAAATCCTTACTGGGACAGAAGGATTGGCGAAAATTCTTTGGTGGCTGAAGAAGAACTGCAAAGATAAAAACAGTACAGACATTAGAACAAGAATATTGAACAATTTGTGCAAGATGGTAAAAAGAAACTTATGAAGGGTGGCCCTTACCAGCTCCTTCCCCCAAAACAGTTCGGCTTAAAGGATAAAGATGGAGGTCGTCGTTTGGCTAAAACTCCCAATTTTTCGAGGTAATGAAATAGTCATCTCCAGCCCCCTTGTTGGAGTTTGGGAGGTCGGTTACGATTTTAAATTCTGTAGACCTCGGCTTAAGCTAATAAATGTAGCATTTTTCTTTAAAATTAAGGACACACATGGTATAGCAGTACTGGATATCAGCTAGGGTGATCCTAACATTTTCTTGTTTAGCTAAGGCTATGATGTCATTGATCACTCGATAGGAATTGATTGCCAGTTGCATGGGGTTCAACTTATAATAGTGAAGAATCTCACGAAAAAGGATGTTGAGTGGGAGCCGGAGTCCGCACTCAGTGAAAACTACAATAGGAAAGGGCATCGAATCATCTGTGGCCATGATAGAGTCGTTATCTCCAGCCAGCCTCAGATGGACATCGGCAGGGATATAGAACTCTTGCCTAAAGTACTCAAGTTTGGTTGGGGTATCTACCCTATGTCTCCACATACCCATGATATCGGCCTGAATTAGAGGGGTTGGATTTAAGAGAAAAAATGTTTTAAGAGGATTAATAAGACCTCGGCAAAAAACCTAGGTTTGAACTGGTGTAGAAATTTGTAAGGGATGTTTCAGTTTTTCCTAAAATGTGGGTTCTACAGACAAATCCCAAACCTAAAACTATGGAGATGAAGATCAAAGGCATAGATCTGGAAAATGCACAAAAAATAGAAAACAAAAGCGGAGTTTCAGAATCAAGAACAGAGATGGACTATCAAGAACATGAAAAATACAAAGGGTTGAAGGCCAAGAACAGTGGCAAGACGTGCAAGAAAACTATGAACAGTACATGTATTTAAGGCATAAGCAAAAAGCGAAATCAACGCATTCAGATGTATGATTCACGAATTAATTGTTGGAGCAAGGCAGTAGTAAACAAGAAATTCCAGAAAAACTCAAGAAACTGGAATAAGAAGAAACAGATTGCTTACCAGAAAATATGAAGCTGATGTAAAGATCGTCGAAATCAGATGACGGTCGTGAAGGCAACAAAATGGTGCAAAACACGCCGGAAGGGGTGAACGGAATAAGTTTCAAAGCAAAAAAGCTTGAACAATGGCGGACTCACAAAGAGAAAAGTTAGAAAGAGAAAAAGGCGAAGAGAAATCGAATACAAAAGTGAAAAATGAAGAAAAGGGGAAAAGTTTTGTCAAAAATTTGAAACGACGGCAAAACGGAGCATTGAATGCGCTTGGGAGACGGCGCACACAGACGCAAAACGGCTTGCAAGCGCGTCATAGGCACGGTCCAATAAGGTGGAGACGCGTGAATGAAACGGTTGAGTAAATGATACGTGACAGCTCACACACATGAAAGAATTCATTGGAATTCTTGTTCTCTGAAGAAAACATATCAGCCTGAAATGAATAATCTCGGCTGAGGAGTTCTTGAGCCGATGTACAGAAGGAAATACCGATATAGGTTCCATCACCTCAAAATACCGAGGTAATAGAACCTAGGGGCAGTTGTGGGGATATATTTTCTGAGTACCAACACGTGGTAAGGTGACGCCGATGTGTCAGCCAAGGTGCCACGTGTCCTGGTCATTATGCCGAGGTTATCTCGGCGTTGCCGAGGTTATCTCCAAAAATATCAGAATCTGAGATAAACGGATAAGGGAAAAGAGTCCTAGAATGAAGAGGAGACTTAGTCAAGATGAGGATAAAGCTCTTAGGGAGTTTATCTTTATCTCTTGAGGAGTCCAAAGTAAGTACTGAATTGGAGTCCATAGAAGTCAGGCTTCTAGTGGGACTAGGATTGAGTTAACTATAAAAGAGAGGTACCCCATGGGTCTAAGGTACGCAATTTATGCTTTGAGCAGTAAGTTTAGCACTTGATTATCTTTGAGAGATATACTGACTTGATCGTCAGAGTGCCCCCGGGTGGAAGAGCCATAGCCGGAGCCTTCTCTTTCTGTTACAGGTTAACTGAAGCCATCTATTTTGCCGGTGCTCTCTAGCTGATTACTAAACGGACAGTGTGATCAGAAAATCACTCACACAGTATCTAATAAAATTATTTTTTGCTATTAACTGAAATTAAGTTTATTTTTACTCTTAGTTTGCGTTTATGGTAGGTGTCATGGAATCGAGTAATGTGTGTGTGATATAGTTTTATTTGTTCTTATATTTCTCTAATCGATTGTGAAAAAAATAAATTAAAAAAAGTTTGTATTTGTTTGTCAACAGTATGTAAGTATCTAGATTGTTTGAATGTTACGTTGCATAAAAAATTCAACAATCAAATGAAAAAATTGAGTACATTTAAGTGTACAGACGATAATAGAATAAGGCCTAGTTTGGCTACTGTCAAAAAAGTGCACTTATTTCATCTTTTTATCTTTTTTGGGTCACATCAATCAACATCTCCTCTCTACTTTTTCTACACATAATACAAAAAAAGTCAAAAAGTGCACTTATTTAGTCTTCCCAAACTAGGCCTAAGACACAAAAATAGGATGAAGGAATCCACCATTCGCCTAACATCTTTATGAAAATCTTCGACCATTATACCAAGAGAGGGCCACTTAAATACTATCCCATGGTTGGACTTGGACTTGTAAAGAGCCCACAAAGCCTGGGGTTGTACTTGGGCCTGGAAGACTTGGGCAGTGTCGGGATGGGCACAAAACAAATATGTTCAATGAGCTGGGCATGGACCAAGATTTACTATTCAGACTCAACTCAATTCAGAAAAATAAAAGGATAACTTTCCTATTTGCTTGTGAACCTTAATATATAGCCTCTTTTTATTTTAATTTTAATTTTTTTTAATTTTAATTTTAATTTTTACTTAGCGATCTCCATTACATAATAAATAGGTAAGAAAAATCCACATCATTATATTTTTATTTCAAATTAAAAAATTTATTAAGGAGAGTTTTTAAACTTGAAATGACGTAGTACTTATAAACTATTGATTTTGAATTTCAATGATACGTTACAATCTTATAAAATGAAATGGAGATATAAAGAGGATTAGAGTACTAGAAGGGACATAGGAGAAAATAATTAACTACACTCGCATCAGTAAGATTCATATTCAAGCAAACATCATGTGTTGATAAGGTGTGCCTCATTTTTTATTTTTTTAAACAGAGAAATTTAGACAAAACAGTAAAACAAACATTAAGAAGTATCAATTAAAGAAGCAAGAGCAGGATGGGGGCAAGAAACCCAGTCAAGAGGGAGCTGATCCTGGAGGAAAGCTTTCGCCACCCAGTGAGCCACCTTGTTAGCAGTCCTGGAAAACCAATGGAAAGACAAATTCCTTTGCTCTGCCATTCGCTTGATGCCACTAACGCTGTGCTTGTTTGGGGGATTTGGAAATGAAAAGGAAAAAAGTAGGTATAATATGAATAAAATATACTTATATTTCACCTAATTTCACATACATTCTCTTTCATTTTCCAAATCCCTCATTAAATCTCCCAAACAAACAGAGCATAAAAATTGCCCCACATTCCCATGGAGGAACAGTATCAGAGATTCTCAGATGAATGACCATTTGGTTATCTCCCTCACTCTCCACATTAGGTAATCTGCTAGAAAGAACTGATAAACAAGCCCATCGGCAAGCTAAGGTCTCACCTTGAAGAGAGGAAGAGACAAAAATCTTTTTAGCACTATCCAATAACTCCCCCTTAGAACCCGCAAAATAGCTGCAATCGAGGCCTGATTAGAGCCCTTCTTGGTGGCCACATCACAATTAATCTTGCAGAAACCATGGATTGGAGGTTGCCAACCATCGACACTTCCTGAATTCCTCACAAATCAAATTTTGTTTGTTAAGAAATTGTTACTTACATTGCAAACCTTGATCATTCTGTACACAAAATCCATAATACACTAATTAAATTTCAACCACACTTCTGAATTTATAATAAATATCTTGACAAACATATTGAGTACTTAAGTTTTCCTTTATTCTTCTCAAACTCATACCTTGGCAAACTTTATAGCTTGCTTATCAATTGTAGGGCTAATCTTATAATAGTTCTTCAAATATTCTCCCACAACCACTTTCTTATAACCCTCATTGCTCGACCCGTAACCATCCACCACGGGTTCAATCTCTGCTTGGGCGGGCGGGTTATAGAACAAAGAAATTGAGAGTCGCTCCACATCCATCTGGGTCACAACCCGGTGCCACGGGCTCTTCAACCTTCCACCACTCATAATCTCCAACAAGTCCCCTACACTGACCAATAGTACATCAGCTGGCCAAGGCACGGGGACCCACTTCAGGTCCCGGAGCACTTGGAGTCCGCTGGTGGACCCGAACTGCATTAAAAAGGTGAGGGCGCTGGCATCGGTGTGTGGGGTTAAGCCTAGGGCCAAGTCGGGTCTTGGGCAGGGTGGGTAATAATTGACCCGAACATTGATCTCACTCTTTTTGTGATCAAAGTTTTGGAGGAAAGCATGGTTTTTTAGTGATAAGGCTTCTGCTAGGGCCACTAGTAAGTCATTGCAAACTTTTCTTGCTTCTTCCACGTATTTCTCCATCACTTGCCTGTCATAAAATTTTTTTAGATTGTGTTTCAATTATGAATTTGAGTAAGGATTTAAGAGAAAATGTGAGTAAAATATGAATAAAATACAACTACATTTCACTTATATTACACCTATATTTTTTCTTTTCCTTTCAAATTCCTATCCAAATGCTTAATTTGATTTTAGAAATGATTTATCAGGCTGTGAAATCATATATATATATATATATATTAATTTGTTATCGATAGTTTCATTTGAATCAATTTTGTTCTTTAATTTTTTTACAATGTATCATTTTAATCCAATTGATAAAATTTATTAAGAAATTAAATAAAATCTAAAAGCAAAATGGTCCATTCAAAATGAATTGACCATTTTAAATTGGAACCCCACAAATGAATTATTTTGCCCATTCATTTAGTCTATTTTTTTTTTAAAAAATTATTAATTAAATTAAATTGACACAATATAAAAAATTTAAAGATTAAATAAGGAAGTAAACTCCAAAAGTTACAAGTGTAATTTGCCAAAATAATGAAAATGACAAGATTTGAATCTTGGACTTCTTGAAATCAAAATAATGATATCATGTTAGATCATTAATTGACCTAAAAACTTAAATTATTGAAAAATGAATGCAACAAAATATATATGACAAGAATATATATATACAAATTAAGTTAACAATTTGCTTTTAAAAAAATCTAGTTGTAGAAATTGAGGGCACATCTATATATTATATAAGGAAAAATGAGTTTTTAGGGAGAAACTTTTTAGGAGGTCTAAACCTTCATTCTAAAATTATTAAAATTTTAATTTATATAATAGATTAAAAAACAAATTATTGACTAATATATTTAATTAATTATTAATTATTTAAAAAATAATAATTATCCCTTAATTTAATGGATTTCAAATGGAAAGATAACAAAATATTTCATAATCTCTCTCACCAATTTAAAAAATTAAACCTTACTTGCTACTCTTTCTCTTCCTTGGCCAAACTATATCTCCAATAAAAAAAACCTACCTTACACAGTTTCAATTTTTTTATTTTTTAAAAAGGTCATATATAACTTGCTTATCCCTAAAGAGATTATATCATGCAAGAGATCATCACACTATTTTTATTATTTTTTTCTAAGGTTGTTAAAGATTAATCAATATTCAATTTTTTTCCTACTCAATACATTTTTATTTTTTAACAATACTATTTCTCCATTCTTTTTCCCCCACATCACTTTCAGTCTCTTTTTTTGCTTGAAGATCTATACTGTGTATCTAAGGAAATATAGTGGACGTGCTCTTATAAGTGTCAAACTCATCACATCATTTCCATTTAAAATAAAAATTATTTTCTTTAATAATTTAATAATATATGTTCTTAGAACAATAGTTATCTGAATACAAACTTATCAACAAGAAAAAAAAAGAAAAGAAAAAAAGTGAAAGCTATCACAAAATTCAAAAATATTTGAATTGAAAATCTATATAAAGATAATCTATATTTATTAACAAAATTCAAAATAAAGATAATTTAAATTTAAATTTGAATATATAATAAAGATAATCTATATTTATCTATCTAATTTCACATTTCTATCCTCCTATATAAACAATTATATTTCAATTGATTATAAACACATATAAAACTATTATGTTGCTCTCTCTCTCTCTATATATATATATATATAATTTTATATTGTTATAGGTATGGTTGAAATGCTACACACATTTACATTTTTTTGTCTAAATTTTAATTTTTTTTACAGGTGACATCATAAATATAATATCAAACTTGACGGCTAGAGAGTTTTTGAATTTCTTTTTATTGCATCAATTTGAATATTATGTACTAAAATTACAAAAAAAAAAAAAAAGTGTAAGAAAATTATTTGTGTGTATCAGTCTCATAATGAATTCCCACCAAACTAAAAAACGCTTTCCTATTTGAGAATTTCAGAGTAATTTAACGTAGTCATTGAGTGTCTATTATATTTTTTGGAACCAGCTCCTTTCCAATAACTAGAGGGTATTGTTCGGCATTGGTGGGCCTTGAGCTAGGCCCATGACGATAATCCAAACCGTCAACGTGTAGAACATGTTGAGTGCATCATTTCTGTAAAAAATCACATTAATCTGATATCGATAACCACTTGATCAGATCACATTTCAATATAATTTTCAAAATAAATTGTGATAAAAGTGTGATCTGAGTGGTTATCGATATCAGATTAACATGATTTTTTGCAGGAATGGTGAATTCGATGGGTTCTACATATTGAACAGTTTGGATCGTCGCCATGGGCTCAGATCAAGGCCCAACAATGCTGAACAACACCCTCCAGTTACTGGAGAGGAGATGCCTCCATATTTTTTTTCTTAAAATTTTATCTTTTGAGGATATTTTGGTGATAGGTTCACATAATTTTGTGATTTATATATTTTTATGTAATATTTAATTTTGCTCTTTTACATTTAATATCAAATTTATTTTTTAATAAGAAACTTGAATAATTGAGTTATTTATTTATTTATTTTGTTTTGTTTGTGGGTTGACAGTAGAATATTTTTTTTATTATAGCAAAACATAGTTTTCAATTATATGATGCTTATTAATTTTTAGCTACAATTGTTTTTGATTTATTTGTTTGTTTAATTGAATTATTTTTTTTTATATTTTTGGTTATCAAAATTTCATTGAAAATAAATATTGAAAGACAATCAATGTAAATAATATTAAATCTAAAATCATAACGTATCATATATTTTACAATTATTATTTATTTTAAATCATATGATGCACGAATTAGCTAGTAATAATTGAACATAACATGACAAGAACAGTTGTCCCACTTAATGATGAAAGCTCAAAAGTAGTCAGTTATTTAGTGCGGTCCAGCCCATAATCCTCCAACGCTAAATAAATCCAAAATTATCATGGCTTGATGGATTTGCCACAATGAATTAATTGATGGTGATATTAGATTTAGTAGTCTAAAATTCAAAATGGTTGTTTCCAACTGAATCACATGGTCACTGTGAGGGCACAAATTGATTTGAAAATCTACTTTTGAGTTAAAGATATAAGGGGTATTTGGTATAGATTAAGCCGTTTATAATTTATTTTAATTTGAAAGTTTATATCAGCCTGTTTTGTATAATTTTTGTTTATAACATATTAAGTATAAATTACTGAGTTAAGCATAAATAATTTAAATAAGCTGATTATTTGAAAGTTAAGAGATGGTTCTTTTAATTTTTAATTTTTAACTTTTAACTTACAATAAATTACACCAAATAGACCCATATTAAGAATCATAAGTTTCTTTTAGAAGTAAATATTTAAACAAAAAATATGCGAGATCTGAAACAAAATGGTGTAACATTTTTTCAAAATTATATCCAAAATTTTTATTTTATTTTATTTTTGGATCCGTCTTGTATAGATGGATTTTTAAAGTAAAAAAAGTGAAAACTTTTATTTTTTTTTAAATAGTCCACTATTTTTTTTGGTTAATTTTGTTTTTCAGAACCTTTTTTTTCCGAAGTTTGTAATTTTTTTTCTTTTTTTTATTATAAATTTTTTCAGTTTATTTCATCGAGTAGAATTTAGAAATTTATTTATTTTTAATTTTATTTTTTAAAAACAAAACTAAAAGTGAAAATAAGTTAACAAAAAAACAAACCCCAATCAGGCAGGTAGTTTACCTGAAGTTGGGTGGCTTTTGAGGCCACACAAGGAGTCCATCAGTAGCATCCTTGGGAGCAGCTTTCATGGTCAACCGATCAATCCAATCCAACGGCTGATCCTCCGACTTCACAAAATTCCGACCATAACCCATGTTGTCAACATCCATATAAGTTCCAACACTCTCTCTCTTCTCTTCAAACGACAATCCAAAGAACCCCTTCACAACATCCTTAACATCCTCCAAAACACAACATTCGATCCCATGATTCACAATCAAGAACATACCCATTTCCTTGACCACACCGGCTAGCCTGGCTAGCTCTTGGGTTCGACCCTCTGACCCCAACCCATGATATCTCAGTTTAGCCACATCTATGGGTGGAAGAAGGGTCTCTGATGAGTCCGAGCCATCTTGAACACATGAGGTGGGGACTAATAATGGGCCGTCTGGATTCAAGCTTATGAACCTTTTGGGCAAGTCTTTGAGGCCTTTTAGGGCGAGTTCTTGAACCACTGGAACCCTAGTGGTTCGGAGATGGCCATTTCGGTCTATGAATTTGGTTTCATGGAAGTAACCATTTTGTTTGATGTCCATTTTGGTCTATGAATGTGGTTTTTCAGATTATGAATGTGTGTATATTATGCAGGAATTTGGTGGTACGTGTGGCGGAGGAGAGTTTGGACAGTGTGAAAGAAACAAGGAAAAGGTTATTATGATGTATGTCGTTTTTGGGAGCAATTATTGAAGTGTGTTATCATCCTTTAGTACTATTCAGATTACAAAATTAAATTTATTTTTTAAATTTAGTAATGTATCAAAAATTAATTAGTTGATTATTAAATATATTTTAATTAATAATTAGGGAGACTTATTTATAAGTCATTTTTCAGACATTTATGGTAGGCTAAGTCCTGTGTAATTTCTTATAGAGTCTCAAGTCCTATTTAAATAGGAATGTATTCCACAAGATCCTACATAAACGTAACGTGACGTGACACTTACATAAACGTAACGTAGCGTGACACCTACATAAACGTAACGTAACGTGTCACGTTATGTTTCGCAAATTTAATGAGTTTTTATTTTTTTAAATTGAATGTGAAAATGTTGCTGGTTTATATTGGTGTCACGTTACATTACGTTTCATATAAATATGATCTATGGTAATAGGAAATTGAATTTTGCCATAGATCATAGGTGTCACGTTACGTTTATGTAGGTGTCACGTTACGTTACATTTATGTAGATATGCTCTATGGCAACATTCAATTTCCTATTGAATGTTGCCATAGATCATAGGTGTCACGTTACGTTTATATAGGTGTCACGTTACGTTACGTTTATGTATGTGTCATGTTACGTTACGTTTATATAAATATGATCTATGGTAACATTCAATTTCCTATATATGGTTTTACTATTATTTATGATATTAACAACTAATATTTAGGGTAAATGTGTCAACAAACTTTCCACAAGACTTTTGGTAACATAAGTATTTTTGTAGGACTATATGTAACATAAGTCTCCCTAATAGGACTTATAAATAATTTTCCCTAATAATTAATCATTTTCTTAACAATCTACAAAGTAAATTTACAAAATAAACTAGTATATCATTTTACTCCTTTTTAATGTGATTGGCATTCAGTAAATAGATTAAGAATTTAGACCGCATAAAAAAAGAAAAAAGAAAAAAAAAGGCCGGTTGTTAACAATTGCCAATCACCGACAATTTTGATCTCTAATGAAATTGTTAACAACAATGCTAGAGGGTTACAATTTTTGTGGCCGCAATGGCTCAAAACTGTCAAAACGACGTCATTTTGACATGTTTTGCACTCAAAACGACATCGTTTTGACAGTTTTGAGCCATTGTAGCCACAAAAATTGTGGCCCTCAAACATTTTCCAATTGTTAATTAACTTGTTAGTATAGTAAGATGTTAATTGTAATGCTAACTACAAGGGGTTGATTGAGATTTAAAAATAAGGTTTAAAAAAAAATCCGGAATGCTTATTAGAGAGGATGGAGAGAGACATATAGGAAGAGGGGGGCTTACAATTTTCATCTTTAACTACCTGGGTAAATTATGTGAAGTTCCTGTACTTTAAACGATGTGTCAATTAGATTCTTATTATTTTAATTTTTTGATTTTGCCTTTTAATTTAACGGATTGTGTCATATTGGTCCAATAAATAACGGCCATTAGATTTGGTGGACGGAAAGTTATCACGTGCTCAAATGATGTGTCAATTTGGTCATTGTAATTTACACATTGTGTTAATTTAGTCACTATTATTTTAATTTACTCAATTTTGACAAGGACTAAATTGATATATCGTATAAACTGTAGGAAACAAATTGACACATCGTTTGAGTTTCTGTCCACCAAATTTAATGGTCGTTATTTATTGGACCAATATGATACAATTCGTTAAATTAAGTAACAAAATCGAACAAATTAAAATAATAAAAATTAAATTAATATATTGTACGGGGAGGAAATAATTCTCCTCGTATAATCCTGTTGACCAAGTCCACGCTCCTCCGTACGACGTCGCTTTATCACCTGAAAACTCAAACGTGAGTTAGCCGGCGGGTGTGTGCCGGAAACCTCTCCGATGCCTAAGTCAGTAAGCTTGACAAATAGACAAAGTTTTATGTTCTCAAAAAGGTTGTGTTCAATTACCTCCTCCAAGGTGATGCTTGTGGGCTTTTATAAGTTTTCCGTGGCACAATCCTAGTAGGACTTGTATTTCTCCATGCAGAGTCCTCCTAGGATTCATTCTCCTAAGGATAATGCTTATCGTTTTACACCCTCCCCCACTGCTTAAACCAAGTGGGATGGTTTTCTTTATGGCCGAACTCCCATTCGACCGAAGTAAGAATGGCTATGCCGAGCCACAAAGCAGGCCATACTAACAGTAGTTCGGTTCTTCTTCATGTTACACCATATCTCGGTTCTCATACATGAACCGTGGTGTGTTTGGACCGATCCACTGAGTAACAACATTACAACCGACCTATCCTGAATTCAATTATGACCGGACTACCTTTTGAGACCGGACTAACTCAAGTTGTCAAAACCGAAGCAGCTTTACATTCCTTTAGCCGAAGTAAGTCAATCACCTCCGCAGAACCAGAGTAAATCTATCGTTCTTGAGCCGGAGTCACTTCAATAGCTCGGGCCGGAGTGACTTTTATCTCTTTTGGGCCGCAGTAACATTTCGGCCTTTTACCTAGTCCTTGGCATTTTGGGCCACCAAGTCCATCTCACAGCTCGGCCCAATTTTTACCAAAAATTACCCTCTCATATATCATATAAATTATATAGACCATTCACATTATTTACCCTAACTACTTAATACACATTTTAACACTACTATTAGAACATTATTCACTCTATAACTAACCCACAAAATCGAATCTCACTTTTACCACTTTTGTAATTAGCTCATAATTTTAGACATTCCATTATGTTCTTATACCTCCAACTTTTTCTATTTTTCTCTCTAAACATCTGTTACATTATAATGGATTGTTGACTTTGTTCATAAGACCTTGGTTGTATCATCCATCGCTAAAAAGTGTAACCAAACTCAAAGAAATATATGAAAGGAACCAAACAAAAATTTAAAAATTTTAAGTTTAACTCCTTAGGTTACGGTTGTGGATTTTACTTGAGAATTGTCCGATCTATATGGAAAGAATATTTTGTGTGAATCTTGAGATTAGTTGAGTGTTCGTAAATTGACTCGGATATCCTGTTATAAAAAAAATATATATATAGAATTGTTTTTATTATTATATTATAATATAACTAGTGTATATCTTATTGGAGAGTTATAAATTAGTGTGTGTTAGACTGTATTTGGTTAGGAGATTTTGACAGGAATTTAGAAACGGAAAAAGAAAATGTGTGTGAAATTAAGTAAAATTTATATATATTTTATTCATATTCCACATACTTTTTTTTTTCCTTTCCAAATCTCTTCTTAAATTTTCCAATCAAATATAACCTTGCGGTGCAGATAAGAACCGTGATGTTACTTGTATCACTGCGCAAACGACACTTTTATTTTTATGATGGGTAAATTACACTTATACTCCTGAAATTTGGTCTAATTACATTCCATCCCTTGACGTTTTTAAAATTACATTTCCACCCTTGTAGTTAATAGTCTCATGTCACAAACCCCACACTTATATAAAAAGTAATAACTTCTAGTAGAAAAACAGAGAAAATTATATTGAAAAAAAAAATAAAGCAAAGGAAAAGAAAAGAAAAAAATAGAGGAAGTAAAGTAAAGGAAGAAAAGAGAAAGCTCATAAGTTTAATATTTTCATTCTGCTTAAATAATTACAATGACGGGGGGTTAATGTGATTTCCCAAACATCAAGAGTAATATGTATTAAACCTAAATCTCAGGAGGTATAAGTGTAATTTACCCTTTTAATTTTGGCGACTAAAATTGATTTTGGTCGGCATTGGTTCTGTATTTACCTACTAAAATATTTTAGTTGGCAAATATTCTTAATTAGCGACTAAATTTTAAATTAGTCAGCAAAAATTAGACTTTTCAGCGACTAAATAAAAAATTAGTCGCTGTTGGTGTACAATTTAGGCAAAAAAATTAAAATTAAATCTGTATTATACACTTTTTCCCGACTAAAATACTTATTAGTTGCCAAATTGGCTTTACTGACCAAAAATTTCGTCGCTAAAGGCTGATCAATCATTCATTTCCCGACTAAAAATAATTTAGTCGGTAAAAAGTTGAAATTCGAACTCACGCCACTTCATTAAGTGATGCGCGCGCGTTGTTGGTGACGTATAGGCAACCATCTCAAACACTGAACTACAGTGTATCACGCACACCTCACCAAATCCCTTACAGAACTCAGCCTCCTCACTGTATTCTACTGTACGGGTGATGCACAGACGGCCACATCCACTGCCACCGGCGCGAATCACCACCGTCTCAGCCCTTGAATCATAGGTTCTCTCTCTCTGTCTCTGTCTCTATCGCTTTGGCGTTGTGCTTCTCAGTTCGTCTGTGCCTCTCTCGCCCGAGCTCTCTAGAAAAGGGCGTATCTATGTCTTTGTCTGTCTCTGTGTCTCTCCATCTCTTTCTCTCTATCTGCATCCCCCTTTCTCTGTGTTTTGCCCCTATTTCAGACCCGTAGCTTGCTGTGCAATGTGTGTGAATGATGTTTATTGTGTGTGAATGATGTTTGAATGAACAATCCGAAATCAATTTGTAAGCAATTTTTAATCATTCAGTGTGTGTAATAATAATAACAATAAAGGCTTCAGTGTGTGTAACAATCAGATGATTGATGAAAATTTGAATTTTCTTGAACCCTTGTATTATACAAATTGAAAATTTGAATCACAAGTTTTTCTTTTTGGTTAGGTTTATGTACTCAACCCATATATATCACTAAAATCCACTAAGATAATTTGAATTTTCATCATAAGCCCCCCCAACTGATGTGAAAAAAATAAAAGATTTGACCATGAAATTATATGGAAAACATTTTATGCAAATACATGTATAACAGATTTTTTTAAGTTTTTCTGATTTTGAAAGCATTCATGTCTAATTCAATTGGAAACAGAGTACCAGATTCAATACATAACAAAGAAAATAAAATTGGGGAGAAGTGTGCTCAAGCAGCCATGGGTTAGTCGT